ATTCCTTAAATACTGCCAATATGAATACAGTGGCACGACGTTCGAGTTTGTTCCGCTGTTACGTGAAAAAGGCGTTGCGAACAATAATTTTCAATGGAAGCCACGGTATGTACCGGTGTTTCGGATTTAATCAATACGCATTGTACGAAGGCGAGGATAGAAATTGCAGAGGACATTCGATGCATTTTTCCAACGCTGTCTATTTTCGCGAACGATTTCGCTGTTACGCGGAAACATCACTGAGGCAAGTACTCGGTGAAGTTCCTATTTGAAGCGAATTCGGTAATAATGAAATTCCATTTCGTCCTTTATATTTCAAACCGTTAAATGGCATTGTATGCAGTGCGTGCGCTTCTCGCCGCGGCTTTCAATCTGAAGTGGAAATGCATCCGCCGCGGCATGGAAGTTTAAAGTTAATTCATTGATGGCAGCATGAACAGGGTATGAATTAAATAGTGAAATGCCCGGCTTATTTTTATTCCTCGGAGATTGAAAAATGCTTCTCGCGGCCAACACGGCTTTAGCGGTGCATTAACTTTCACGTGTAAAGAAAGAGCCGCGCCATTTTGTTTCTTTTTGTAGTTGTTTTCAACCACTTGCGCTGGCCAACTGATTGCGGACCATAACGAGGGAACTGTACACAATAATTCGTCGCTTTCTTTCCGAGCTCGTCGGTACATCACCGGATAAAAATTTATTGAGAGGTAAATAAATTTATTGTTTGTTTTACTTAAATGTATTACTTGTTTTTCTATAATATATTATTTGTTTTACTTGAAAATAACTGAGAAAATATTGCAATTTTGCAACAAAAAATTCTCGACGTGCGTGATACGTCATTCCAGGACAAGAGGTTAACATCAATATCCGATTTTTCCCTTTTGCATCTTTCAGGTTGAAAAGCTAAAACGCATCCTAATAAGGATAAGCGACTTGTTCCGTGTTTGATAGGTAACGCTGCTTGCATGTTCGATGCTACGCAAAGGAGCATATTCCGGAAGTAGCGTGCGTGGCAGGATAATTATCCAGAAACATCGAGGCGGTTAAAACGAGAAACGCAAAAGCAACGGGTCCGATCATGCCCAACCGCGGAATCGATCACGCTAATGTGCTTGCCGGCTCGGTGTATTGACTACGATGCGCGACTTTAGCAGACGTGCAGCATTCCACGGTATGATTAACCTGATGAAAACGTTGCTTTTTACCGCGCTACTGACCGAACCGAATGAACCAACTTCCTGAATATGTTCGTGCCTTTTTATCCCTCTCGGCTCGCGAGCCTCTTTTTATTTCTGTCCTTCTTCTTCTTCTTCTCTCTCTCTCTCTCTCTCTCTCTCTCTCTCTCTTTCGCTCCAGATGTTGGGCCAGAAGGAAAAGGAGCAAACAGGAGAGTGAAAAGTGAATACTGAGAAATGTGATTCGTGAACTACGGCCGTGGCAGTGGAGCTTTGCATTACCATTTTGGCCGTTGGCCAACCCGTGGCCTCTGGGAACCCTGAGGAATCCCCGATAGAAGATAAGGCCTCGGCCTGCTGCTTGCCCGCCGTTGGATTCAGCGGGCACACCCGCTAGATAAACACACCCACGGGAGGGAAACCGATCCTCTCGTCGGCTAGTCGAGATCGTCGGCCGCCGTTCCGGAATTTCCACAGATTTACAGGCTGGAATTCCTTATCGCAATCAACTGGCTGCACGTTCTTTCCGCGCCCGAACCTAAGAACTCGAGAGAGAAGGGAGATACCATCGATTAATTTCTTACGCTGGAATGACGTGCCACGCACGTCGAAAATTTCTTGTCCCAAATTGCAACATTTTCTCAGTTTCGTGTATGTTTAAATGCAACCCAGGCAAAGTTTATTACCTCTTAATGATTTCTATCCAGTGATGTCATACTGACGAGTTCAAAAAAAAAAAAAAAAGAAAGCGACGAATTATTGTATACGGTACGGTCACTCATTATGGTCCGCAATACGTTGCCAGCGCAAGTGGTCAAGGATATCTACAAGTAATGTCGTTTTCTGACATTGTTGACAATTTTGTTTTATTTAGAAGTTAATACAGCTTTGATCTATAATATAATTTAACAATAAAAACACTAAATGTCAATGCACTTAACTAGAATATGGGTTATATTGGGCATAACATAGGTTATGTTATATATTATATATTATATATTATAGCATATTATAAGTAAAATTATATATTTAAGTAAAACAAAATAGGCAAGACAAATAATAAATTTATTGCTTCTCGATAATTTCTATCCATTGATATCATACCGACGAGTTCAAAAAGAAAAAGAAATCGACGAATTATTGTATACGGTCATTCGTTATGGTCCGCAATCAGTTGCCAGCGCAAGTGGTCAAGGACACCTACAAATAATGTCGTTTTCTGACACTGTAGACAATTTTATTTTATTTGAAAGTTAATACAGCTTTGATCTGTAATAAAATTTAACAATAATAACACTAAATGTCAATGTACTTAACTAGAATATGGGTTATATTGGGCATAACATAGGTTATGTAATATATTATATATTATATATTATAGCATATTACAAGTAAAATTATATATTTAAGTAAAACAAAATAGGCAAGACAAATAATAAATTTATTACTTCTCGATAATTTCTATCCATTGATATCATACCGACGAGTTCAAAAAGAAAAAGAAATCGACGAATTATTGTATACGGTCATTCGTTATGGTCCGCAATCAGTTGCTAGCGCAAGTGGACAAGGATATCTACAAGTAATGTCGTTTTCTGACACTGTAGACAATTTTATTTTATTTGAAAGTTAATACAGCTTTGATCTGTAATAAAATTTAACAATAATAACACTAAATGTCAATATATTTAACTAGAATATGGGTTATATTGGGGATAACATAGGTTATGTTATAATATATTATATATTATAGCAAATTATAAGTAAAATTATATATTTAAGTAAAAACAAAATAGGCAAGACATATAATAAATTTATTGCTTTTCGATAATTTCTATCCATTGATATCATACCGACGAGTTCAAAAAGAAAAAGAAATCAACGAATTATTGTATACGGTCATTCGTTATGGTCCGCAATCAGTTGCTAGCGCAAGTGGTCAAGGACACCTACAAGTAATGTCGTTTTCTGACACTGTAGACAATTTTATTTTATTTGAAAGTTAATACAGCTTTGATCTCTAATATAATTTAACAATAATAACACTAAATGTCAATATACTTAACTAGAATATGGGTTATATTGGGCATAATATAGGTTATGTTATATACTATATATTATATATTATAGCATATTATAAGTAAAATTATATATTTAAGTAAAACAAAATAGGCAAGACAAATAATAAATTTATTACTTCTCAATAATTTCTATCCATTGATATCATACCGACGAGTTCAAAAAAAAAAAAAAGAAAGCGATGAATTATTGTATACGATACGGTCACTCGTTATGGTCCGCAATCAGTTGCCAGCGCAAGTGGTCAAGGATATCTACAAGTAATGTCGTTTTCTGACATTGTTGACAATTTTGTTTTATTTAAAAGTTAATACAGCTTTGATCTCTAATATAATTTAACAATAATAACACTAAATGTCAATGTACTTAACTAGAATATGGGTTATATTAGGCATAACATAGGTTATGTTATAATATATTATATAAGCAAAATTATATATTTCAGTAAAACAAAATAGGCAAGACATATAATAAATTTATTACTTCTCGATAATTTCTATCCATTGATATCATGCCGACGAGTTCAAAAGAAAGTGACGAATTATTGTATACGGTACGGTCACTCGTTATGGTCCGCGAACCAGTTGCCACCGTAAGGGGTTAAATCTTGCCGGGTTTCCGCCTCGAATTTCGTTATAAATATAATTGTCATTGCCAATGGAAGGACCGAGTGTTTACTGTGCTCCGATATGTAGAAAATGATTTCAGTTCGACCTTTAAAACCTGGACTTTTTGCCAGGCTCGGATTAAACCTGTGGGCGCGGGACACGAAATAATTTGCGATTCTCGCGGTTGAACTCCGAAAGGAAATTCTCCGCAAACAGTTTTATTGTCCCGGAAACGGTAATTCGACCAGGCTCGTGCCGACGATATCGATTAGAGAATTTACCAGGGAGTTCCTTGGTTTTATTCTTTAGTCTTCTTCTTCTTCTTCTTCTTCTTCGATCGCGTCGTGTGTTCCTATGATTTACATACACCGCAGTGCCTCTCTTTCGTTTGCCTCCTTCGTTTCAAGCGGAACGCGCGCAAGAAACGACGAAAATATCAGCTCGGCGTCGATTTCTCGCAACAGACGAATCTTTGTACTCCGGCCACGATCGAGTGTAGCACGTCTCTATCAAATTCTCTCGTCTAGGAAAACTTTGTATATGGCCCTGCGACTCTCTCGTCTATGGAACGGCTTTACATCGAGTTTACTCGGGCAGAGATAGTTTACGTATCGCCTCTTTCGTGGCTCGTTCGTTGAGAACTTCTCCAGTGCGCCGAAGACGTATTTCTGACTGGACACGTTAACGTAAACCCCTTTCGAATCCTCTGAAATCTCGAATGTGTATCTTTCCGTTCGTCGAGAATCAAACCGCAAGTAGGAAGTGTTTTTTAATTAGAACGCGGTCACTCGTGAGTCGTCCACCCGTGGCAAATATTTGCCGAGGCTCCCTCGCTGTTTTTTCAATGCTTCACGAACGGCCGCGTCAACACGGATGGTATTTCCAGGACAAGCAAATAAGGAGGGATTTCGCGGTTTTAAGAGGAGACGGTTGATTTTTAATTTAAAGTTGGCGTTTCAATTTTAAACGCGGGCATTCCTTCGCGCAACTTCAGGACAACTGGAAACCATCTTTCAAGCCTCTATTACGCGAAACGAGAGTATCGCTGGAAAGCGGTGGGAAACTGAAGGAAACTCGTGCCTCTTATTCCCGTTTGTACTTTAAAAGCTTCGCTCAAAAGACTTCGCGGTCTCGCGAGCGTGTCCTCTTTGGTTTCGTTTCCTTTCAAAATATATGCTCAGCGAGCGATAACGCCGGCGAATGTTATTGTTGTCACCTTCATCTTTATCCGTCGTACAATTTCGAAAATCGATCCGCAAACATTTCGGGAAAGAAGATTTTCGTGGTTATCTATTAGGTAATTGAATATTTTTTTTTTATACCGAAACTTTGCTTTTGCTTATTTCTTTTGTTGTCATCAAAATGATCGATATTATACAATGAAACTGCATATTATTGCCATAAAAATGGATTGTTATATTTTTACTCATTTCTACTTTTTATTCGACAGTGAGGCAGTTGTACTTTAAGAATGAAGAATACGGATAAATAATAATAATAATAAAACAGAGATCGAAATTAACAAATTCTTTTCGTTTTCAAAAAAAATTCCATTCGAACGTGTGTATTTCGTATGAAAAACTATCTGCTTCTGTGGAACTTTTATGGAGAGAACACTTTTGAATAATATTCTCACGGAACAGAGAATCTATATAACAAAGACAGATATAAAAGTTCCATGGGAACAAGTTATTTTAGAACATTTAATTAAAAATCCAATTTTTTGTATTCGCTGAATGGCACTCAGCGTCAGTATTTGCCAACAAATATTGAGAACTTTTTTAACATTTTGAATAAATTATATGCTCTGCCGGCAGAGAAACTTTCACTTTTATATTTGATGAACTCCGTTTTGTTTGAACGTTTATTTGCCTGTTTTCGTCGAGACTTTTTATCGAGCAAATTCTACGATCGAACTTACGTAAATATTCTCTGATAATAAATAATAAAGAGAAACAAGAATAAAGCTGAACCCGATCTATTTCTCGTGTTACTTTTGGCAAAGGATGGTTTGTTAAAATCAAACGCTGTCGTTAAATTGCTTTCACCAAGTACAAACGCGTGTTGGATTAAGTTAACCGTGTTGGTTCTGAAACTCGAAGCTACGTTTCTGCCGCTGATCGATGCTCGACTTTGCCCCTCAAGGGAGTGTCACTATCGTTCCGGGACCGATCAAACCTCGTGTGAAATTTAAATACGATTTGGACTCGGCGTCAAATTATTTCCCTTCTAGTAGACTTGATCTTTCGCAAACACTGCCGTCCCGAACCACCATGACTCTTCGAATCGTAGCAAACTCAATTTCTGTCTGGCGAATACTATCTGATGATCGATACGTGAAAGATTAGTCATCTGATACACTGACAGCACCGATAAAACTCTTTCGCGAATCTCATGAATAATGCTTTAAAACTACTGGCTGTCCGTAAAGTCTCTTTACAATTTCAAAAATTTATTACAAAGGCGACTGATGAGATATTTTCGTCAGATTTGTTCCACGTAATCAGTGGTTATCGAGGTTTTTATCACATTGTATTTCAGGTACGTTCATCAATTCGCGCATGGCACAAGAAATTTATAGAGACAGGGACAGTGTTCTATCGAAGGGAGGAGTGAACGATCAACAACATCTGAGGAAAACATCGATCGTGTAAGAAATCAAGTAACGTCTTGACGTACAATTAATGGTGCCCATATAGAGGTGTATTAAATGAGGCAAAAAAAAAAAAAAAAAACTTAAATATACACGTCTCATTTTGTAATAATATCCACTTATCTGTCTTTTCATTTGCCTTTGCGATAAATTTTTGAAATTGTAAAGAGACTTTACGGACACCCCGTACATCTTCTTGGCTGTCACTCGAAAGCTTTTGTCTTCGCGAAAGACAAAGGCAATTCTCGCCGTTAGTCAGTGATGCCCAAGTTCTTTCATGGCGCTGTAAGAAAAAACAATATATTACGGGCACAGCGTGAATAGCGTTTGCCTTTCCAGTTCACGTAAATTACGTTTTAAAATAAATACCAAGGGGATACGTGGCGACTGATGCGTTTATTCCCGTGCTTTGTGACAATCTCGCGCGATAGCAGAAATACAGACAGAAGCGGTGCTGTTTCGTCGTTTTCCTTTTTTTTTTTTTTTTTGTTTCCCTTCCTTTCTTTTTCTCGGTTGGTCTTGTGCAGAGTGAAAGGAGCGCTAGAGTTCTCCCGCGCCTATTTATTTTATTACGCCTCGACGCGGTCTCTTCGCGCGAAACAATCTTTGTATTTCGTTCTCCGCTTACCCTGCTCGACCTTAATATATATAGGGATGACTTCCGTTTCTCCTCGACATCAGGATGCTTGTACAGCTTTGTTACCGTAAGATTAACGAGGTCTCTTGCGAAGCGTTTGTTTGTTCGTCGTACACAAACTTAATGGTAGCATAACGAGATGTATTCGCTGTTCCGTACGTAAGACCCCAGCTTTCTCGTAGAACGCGTAGGAAAAGCGCGAGCAAACTATTACGTAAAGGCTCATGAAGCGTGAATCAATCGGACTAAATTGCCAAACTACACATATCATCGGATATATTTTTTTCTTTTTTTTTTTTTTTTTTTTTTTTTTTTTT